TTAACAATGGTGAAAATTTCACAAAAATTAGCCAAAAACTTTCTCCACAAAATTTTCACTTATTTGTAAACTTCGGTATTGTGTTATTTTAATAACGGCAATTGAATTTAAAGTTTCATTTGCATGAGAGAGTTTATATTTTAACCCAAGGTGACTATGGCCTAAGATTTATTATAAATAAATAATAAATTTTGCAGTAAAAACGTTTATATTCTTCTTCCTTAAAAAAATAGCTACTGAAAAATAGCTATTGAGATTTTCTCAAGCAATTAAACACCAGCTTTAAAAGTTATGAGTATCTTAATAAAATGCACTAATTCATTCATTTTACCATTTTCACAAATAAAAATAAGGTATCAGGAAGTACTGTTAACCCATTTGACCAAAGAGGAAACAAGCCCAATGGTCATCAATATCTATGTCCATAATATAACATGAAGCATATTTTAGACAGGTGCTTCTAAATACATGACTCCCAAATACTTGACCTACTAGTACTACTTCAGTAAAACAACTGAGGTACACCTGCTAATATTGTTGCAACAAAACATTAAAGCATAAAACTAGTGTTTGGCTATGCTTTAAAAATTGTTATTGTGACCAAAAATGCAGACAAGTACTCCAAGACACCAAAGCGATGAGTTAATTTATTCAAGAGTTACTACTCCTATGGCATTAATTTGTGGAAAGGATTTTAACAGAGTATGCAAACCAAGAAGGGTCAGATTATCAAAACCTAACAGACTCTGCCAAGTTACCCATCCACTTCTGAATGGCTGGGCCATTCCTAAAGTGTTACCTGGTCAAAATGGACACAGATACCAAAGAGTGCATCATCTGTGCCAAAGTGTTCAAACACAGCTCAAAACATCACAACAGCAACACAGTCCACACGGACCAATCTGCTATGGCGGCATTTCTAAAAAGGCATTCACACTGCCAGGAAGTGTTAAGCACCTGGGGACTAATGAAAGGGATGAAGCCAGTGTCGTTTCTGATCTTTAATTATAGTTACTTGTGAATATCTTGTCTTCTTTTTGTGAGGGAAGCACCTTCTTGAAGAGGGCGTCTCTCTCTGACTCATCTTTGTGGTCACAAAGTGATAAATATTATATGTTATATATAATATAGGCCTCTGATATTAAGAGCGAACTAAACCTGGCATAGAAGAGGCTTAATCTAAGAGATTCTGCTACATCAGAGGACAATTCTGGGGAAGGTGACCACTTGGGATTTCCTGTGCTACCCCTGACTGGGATGGGGCTCCATTTCCTTCTAAATGGTTGGTTTCATGAGATATCCTAATATGTTTCTGTTTCTAAATCCCTCCCTCAGTTTGCGTATTTCTTAGAGGATCTAAGTGTACAGATTAACAGCTTATTGTGGTTGTTCCATTTACAATGTGTCTTGCAAAGATAAGAACTACGAAAAGGATGAAAATTTCAGAGGGAACTAATAATAACTTGCTGAGAAGTGCACAGCTCGAGTATTGGAGTTTATTGAGAGTAAGTTTTGACAGAAATGTCTTCATTTCCTTTTTTTTAAGATAAGGTATCTAGCCTAGTAGATCACAGAAACAAACACATAGACACGGTACAGAGATACAGTACCAAGACATTTGACAAACCATTGCATGAACAGAGAATTACGGATGGACTGACAAAGGGTCCAGGACACCCTGGAGCGGTATTTATTGTACAGTGACATAGAATGATGACTTCATAAATCAAGAAATCCAAACTAAAGAGAGGTTTTGCTTCCAGTAAGCTTGTTTGAAAAACCTTTTTCATACTCTTTTTCTAATAAGAAATAGAAAAATTATGAGAAAAAATCTATTTGAGGACACTCGAGAACTAAGACAGCAAGAACTTGTGTTAAAGATCCAAAAGAAGCCAGGTGTGGTGTCTCACGCCTGTAATTCCAGCACTTTGGGAGGCCGAGGCGGGCGGATCACGAGGTCAGGTGTTCGAAACTAGCCCGGCCAACATGGCAAAACCCCATCTCTACTAAAAATACAAAAAATTAGCCAGGCGTGGTGGCGGGCACCTGTAGTCCCAGCTACTCAGAAGGCTGAGGCGGGAGAATCCCCTGAACCTGGGAGGCAGAGGTTGCAGTCAGCTGAGATGGCACCACTGCACTCCAGCCTGGGAAACAGAGCAAGACTCCGTCTAAATAAATAAATAAATAAATAAATAACCAACCAAAAGATAAGGGAAGCTCATTGTCATAATCCAAACATGGCACTGTTTCTGCTTTTGAGGTATCTGCCCACACAACAGGAAAGGGAAAGGCTGGGAGTATGCAGTGACTGAGCACCTGAGACACAGAGAAGGGCTGGCAGCCCCACAGAGCTCAGGCACAGGGAAGAGACGCGAAGTTCAGCCTCTATCCAACAGAAGGGGCCCTGCTAAAACACCTCAGGAGTTCAACTGGGATTCTGAAGAGCTTTGCCCTAAAAGAAAAGGGAAACTGGAAATAGGCCCGCCCTTAGAGAAGGATTAAAGCCCAGGCTGCAGTCAGCTCAAATTATGATTATATTAAAATTACCTGCCCCTGGCCTGACTACCTAGAAGAAACAAAACTAAATCCTCTCTGGGATGATGAAGTGTTCAAAAATTACATATTAATGTGCAGAATTTGGGCAAGTAACTAAAAACAACTGAAAAATAATCAAATAGAAATTCTGAGATTAAAACTTTTTTTTTATTTTTAATAGAGATTATGTCTCGTTATGATGCCCAGGCTGGTCTTGAACACCTGGCCTCAAGCAATCCTCCCACCTTGGGATCCCAAAGTGCTGGGATTACAGGTGTGAGCCATTGCACCCAGCTTCAAATGTAAGTTTTTGAACTGAAAAATATAGTGTATTTAAGTTGAAGTCAATAATAAAAGAAAAGCTCCAATTGTTTGAAAATTAAGCAATGCACTCATATGAGAAATCATAAAGGAAGTTAGAAAATATTTTGATCTGAATAACAATGGAAATATAAAATTCAAAACTTGTGAGATGTAGGCAAAAGCCTGTGCATAAAGTAACGTAGAGACTTAGTGCAGACATGAGAAGGTAAGAAAGGCTGAAACCGTTTGGCAGTATCCGCTGAGATATGTACGGTCAGGTGCCACATGTTCACATTTCCCTGCATATAAGACGGTATGTCTCGCACTGCCTTTTCTACCATTGGATAAGTTTAGATACACAAATACTTACCACCGTGTGTTATAATTCTAGGTACTGAATGTACTTACAATATGTACTTACAGTACTCAGTATAGTATCATACGGTACGGGTTTGTAGCCTAGAAGCAACAGGCTATAGCATATAGCCTAGAGGTGTAGTAGCCCTATCACATGGGCTTGCATTAGTATACTCTGTGATGTACGCAGGACAAGGGAATTGTCTAACAATGCACTTCTCACAATGTATGCCCATTGTTAAGTGAGCCATGGTTGTATTTTTTAAAATAAATTTTATTGTGTATATTTGAGGCTTACAACATGATGTTATGGGATACATGGAGATAGTGAAATGATTACTACAGTGAAGCAAATTAGCATATCTAGCAACTCACACAATTACCATTTTTTGTCACAAAATCTACTTATTTATTTAACAAGAATCCCTAATACAATACAATGTTATTCCCTAGAGTCCTCATGTTGTACATTACATCTCTAGACTTGTTCATCCTACGTATCTGCACCTTTTATCCTTTGAACCACATCTCGCCATTTCATCTCCCCTCACCTCCGCCCCACCCCCAAGTCCACGGTAACCACTGTTCTATTCTCTATCTCTGTATACTTGATCTTCTTTTCAAGAGTCAACATAGAAGTGTTCCACATATAATGCATGTATAATAGACATGTACATTAAGGCATAATTTTTAATAATCAGAAATTGAAATAAACTTTAATTTACATCAATATTACATGAGATAAAGAATTTATGGTATGTACACAAAAGTGGAACACTATATAGCAATAAAAATGAATGTGGATCTTGAAATGCTATTGAGCAAGGCAAGCCATCAAATTAATACATACGCTATCCAGTCTTAGGAAGTTCAAAGCAGGTGAAAAATTAACCCTCAGTGCTCATGAGGCCATAGTACCACCTTTAGGGAGAAGGGAAATAATGAGGAGAAATCATGGTAATAACCCAGTTCAGGACCTGGGTATTGGTTACATGAGTTTATTTACTTGGTGAACAGACTTCAATATTCCAAAAATCAAGGATAAATAAGCTCTGGCCTTAACATCAGTTTAGTTAAAAAGATTCAGGCCAAGATTCAGGAAACACCTTTCCATGAGGCATTACGAGGACCTCGTAAAGTCTGACTTCAGTTGTGGGCATCCTGAAATATTGGGTTGTCCGACAAAAGAGCAGCTTGGCTTAACTCTGAGGGACAAAACTCAGCACAATGAGGGAAAGCACGTTACAAGACTCAAATTTTGATTCAATATTCTAACTGCTAACAATAAAACTAACTGCCCAATAGGCCAGGCACAGTGACTCACGCCTATAATTCCAGCACTTTGGGAGGCCAAGACGGGCAGATCACTTGCGGTCAGGAGTTCAAGACCAGTATGACCAGCCTGGCCAATATGGTGAAACCCCATCTGTACTAAAAATATTAAAATTAGTTGTGCATGGTGGCACACGCCTGTAATCCCAGCTACTCGGGAGGCTGAGGCAGGAGAATCACTTGAACCCGGGAGGCGGAGACTGCGGTGAGCCAGCCTGGGGGACAGAGTGAGACTTCATCTCACAAAACAAACAAACAAACAAAAACCTGCGCAATAATGGAACGCACTGTCTCAATAATAAAGACTATTCCACGCTCTGAACTTGTTCACATCAAGGCAGAAGGGCCACTCATCGGGGGTGAGCGGAGTTTCCCACAGCACACGGGGTGAGAGCTGACCGCTGGAGCCCCTTCCACAGCCTTCAGACTCTATGCATATGGGTCAACACAGAACCACAATTTAAACCTCTTACCCTTAATCTTGTAGTGGAGATCTCAGCTTTTAAAATATCGGGATCATATTTAGTACTGGATGAAGATCCTGAGAATACTTTTATAGAGAAAAAAGAAAAACTAATTATTTACAAGTTGCATAACTAGTTCTCAGCTTATAATTTCTTGAAGCTGTACACGGGGAAAAAAAGAATTTACTGAAGCTAAAAACAAGATTTATGTGCTTCTGTGAATACTTGCTTTCTTTTTATAATTCCTTTATTGTCATTTATCAGACACCTAAATATAAAAAGTAATCTTCAAACCTCTACCATATTTTTAAACTCTGTAAAGAGAAACATCATTAAGACCTTGGAGCTTAATTTTCTTCTGGATTTCATACACACTACGTCCTTAGAGGACTATACTGCAGCAGTACTTCAGAGTTTTGCATTATCAAGGAATTTATAATTTAAGCAGAACTTCTGAGCTCATCACAGCTGCTTCTTTAAACAAAGTCAGCTCCAAATAATCAATCTGTGAGATGAGGGAGCGGTAAATCAACTCAGATGGTCAACAGAAATTACACTGTAGGTAATAGTTGCAGTTCCTCCCCACTAAAAATATTGTACAAAAGTAGCAAACAGGGCCAAATTACTTGCATTGTTCTGAAAAGGTAAAAATTAACTCGTAAATGCATAAAAGGCAACCTGGCAGAGGCAGGTACAGAAACAGAAGGCATGCACAACCCCCAAACGGGGATTATTTTATCTGGAGTGGGGGTGAGAAAATCCGGGGTGTGCCTTCACCTCTCACGGTTTTGAGAGATTCTTCCTGCTTAGGAGGGAAAAGGACTCAAAATTAAACTCCATAGAAATGTAAGTGGTCTTCTGTTATCTACAATTCGGTCTCCACTTCTAAAGTCTGAATAGACACACTGTACTTACAGCTTGTGCGAGAACTTGACTTTTCCTTATAGGCATCATTTAATCGCACGTATTCATCCAGGGCCAGCGCCAGCCTCTGTTCCTTCACATGGTACAGCTCCTTCTGTGTCCGGAGGGCATCCCGCGCCACAGAGAGGTAGTCCTTGAGCATCTTCTCCTGTTCCCCCCTCCATTGTTTTCTTGGATCTTCTATCTGTGTGGTTTCTGAAAACATTAGGTGGAGGGTATTTTTTAGAATTTAACTTTGTTTTCCGGATTGTTTAAACTTTAGGGAGTAGGCTAGCTTAAGTTCTTGCATCCTCTAAGGAGTTTATTTAGCTGTGCTGGAGTGACTTCTCCAGAAATTTTATAGTTTTATTTTACCCAGTCCCATCAATTTCCTTCCTCTTTCAGGTTCTCATCAACAATGTATTCTCACTATAAATCTGCCACATATGATGTGTCAATCAGATCATTCCTTTCAAGAATTCTGTGGCTCCCCCGTGCCTACAGAATAAAAGCTAAGCTATTCATTCCAGCACTCAAGGTCCCGCATAATCTGGACCCAACCTACCTTCATTCACCTAATATGGGACTCTAGCCACACTGCTCTCTGCATCAGCTCTAATCAAAGCTGGTCTACTCTGCAGACCAATACCAGTCCATGAACGCAGTTTCATGTCCACAACAGTAAGGACAGAAATAGACAGAAAACATTTTGTAATCATTATAGCGATTTTAGTCAGTTATTGTTTATCTGTTGATAAACATTTTGCATTTCTTTGTGTATATACATTTTCACTTTTTCAGTAATTCACTTTTTCTTGTAGTTTACAAAAATATCAGTGAGTCCGCAGTGGATCTGAAATTTAAAAATAAACAAACAAACAAAACCCTGGTCCTGTTTACACAGGATGCTCTAGCCTAAGGCCCTGGTTCTTGCTTCTGCACTTCTGCAAACTACAATCAACCAGAGACTTTTTTAAAAAAAAACCCAGACCAGTTAGAGTTTCTGTGGGTGGAACCCAAGCACTACAGATTTGAAAGCTGCTCAGGTGATTCCAGTGAGCAGCCGAGCCCAAGAACCAGTGCTCTGCAACAGCATTCACACGCTGCCTCCTCCAGAAGGTGCCCCGGCCACCTCATCTGCAGGTCAGCCCTTATCCTCTGTCTTCCACGGCAGCTTATGCTCAGTTTATAAACTCCAAACACATTCTTTACTGTGTGGTGAAGCCACAGTAGGAGCCACAAAACGTGAAGAAAAACAAAAACAAAAGAATCAGATTACCACAAACACTTTATGTTCTCATATTTAAAAACTGACATATTTCTTGACCACACGTTGGGCCAAGGAGTTGGAGTGTACTGGTGTCCAGCACTGGGGTACCATGATGTATACCAGAGAATGGATAGTTTTGGTGATGGTTAGTGCAGGTTGGTTAAGAGACATCCCCCTGTGTCTGCAGACATGTATTGGATCCCTCTGCTGTGAAAGAAAGGAAAGTGGCCATGTGCCAGTAGAGGAAGGGGCTGAGAATGGGACAGAGTAAATAAAAGAGGCTTCCTGGATACTGATGTTCTATTTCTTTCACCCATCGAAATTACATAGTTCACTTCTAAAATATTTGATAAACTTTGTTATTTCAGTCTGTGCACTTTTCTGTATGTTGTATTCAGTAATACAATGTGTTAAAATAAAATAGAATAGTTCAAAGGCGTAAAAACTATGGTATTGTGACTTACGATCTTGTCTCTAGCAGGACATTGTATCTAAGTGGATCCCACTCCCAACAACAGCAAACACAAACAGGGGATAATTTGGGACAAACAGAAGTATGGCTTTAATACAGAAAACACATGAAGCTTGATACACAAAAGATTAATAGAGATTTTTAAAAAACAAAGCAAAACACAAAGAAGGCCATGGTGGAATAACAGGGCCACAGTAAATAACTAGAAGAGAAAATATATGAACAACGGTTTTCAGATGTTGGACAACAGGTAGTATGAATTGTGATCTCTGAAAGAAGGGAAATGAATCCCATGATTATCCTACATTTCTGTCTGAAAGCACTTTTTGGACAGCAGTGCAAAGAGGGGTAACTGAAGCAGAGAAAAGGAGGCACTGCTGAATTGAAGCGACAGGCAAGCAGACTTCATGGAAGCCATGAGAGGTGGAATTTGTAAAGCAAAGCACAGAAGTTCCAGAGACTGGAGAAGTTCCAGAAATTTGCACATGGGTTACAAGAAGTCTGTGGGTGAATGCTAAGATGCACAAGGGGGACGTGCACAACGCCAGGCAAAGGACAACTGGGGTGCTATAGGCAGATAATTCCCTGAGCTCACACAGGGCTGTGACAGTTTCCAATTATGACCAGCCAGAGGAGAAAGGACACAGTGAACATCTAGGGAATCCAGTGGAGACCACAGCAAAGTTACACCTTAACAACAGAGCTAAATAAGACATAGAGTAAAGGCTACTCTGAACCTAACCTAAAGGACCAAACTGGTCAGCAAGTAACTTAACTGCCAGTCAGAAGAAAAAAAGTACAAATCTCCCTAAAAGGCACAAAACCTAGCACTCAATGAAACCAACAACAACAAAACCAACTTTATAATGTCTAGCATCCACTATAATGTTACTAAACATAACAAAAAGCACAAAAATATGGTCCATAATCAGGAGAAAAATCAGTCAATAGAAACAGATCTGGAAATGTAGAAATGATGGAATAAGCATAATCTAGATAAAACAGTTATGTTACAACAGAATAGAGTCCAAAAATAAACCCACACATCTACTGACTATTGTGCAAACAGTCAGTAAGCAGATGAAAGGAGACTCAACATCACCAATCATCAGGGAAATACAAGTCAAAACGATAATGGGATACCACTGCTCACTATATAAAACGGCTAGAATTTGAAAACTGACCATGTCAAGTGTTGAAGAGGATGTGGGGCAACTGGAATTCTCATTCATTGCCACTGGGAATCTAAAAAGGGGCAATCACTTTGGAGAAGAACTTAGCAATTACCATGCAACCCAGCAATCCTACAACTTGTTATTTACCCAAGAGATCCAAAAATATGTATATACAAAAAGACCTCTAAACAAATGCTCATTAACAGCTTTATTCATAAGAGACAAAACTATTACAGCTAATGGCTAAGCAAATTGTAGTATATCCATACAATAAACTACTACTCAGCAACAAAATGAAACAAAATACTCAACAGCAATATATAAGACTCTTAAACACAAGCTGAGTGAAAAGACGCCAGACACAAAAGAGCACACGCTGTATGATTCCATTTATATGAAATGTGGGCAAATGTAAAGCTAATCCAATGACAGAAAGTGGTTGCCTGGGCCCAGCAGTACTGAGAAGTACTTGTTACAACAGAGCAAGAAGAAAGCTCTTTTTGAGCGGATGGAAATGTTCTCTATCTTGATTATTGTGATGGTTACATGGTGTACACTTGTCAAAAACTCATGAACTGTATAGTGAAAATAGATGCAATTTATGTATTTGTATATAATAACAAAGCTGATTTACAGTTTATTATTAAAATATGCTTTACAAGGTTCAAATGAATGAATGATGATGACTGATGAATGTTAAAGAGAACTGAGGTATAATAATACCTCAGTTATAAAGGAGAAAGGGATGCTATAGGCAGACAAACGGATGCTATCAGAACAGCAATAAAAATCCTTTGCCACTATCAGCTGTTGAAAAGAGCACTGGTTAGGGAGTAAGGCCGTGTGGATTCCATATCGAACTAGTCAGATGTGAGACTCTAGGAGAAATATTTTACCTCTCTTACTCTCACGTCTCTTGGATGTACACAGAGGGTGAAATATGGACGAATATTTTCTGATGTAGCCTTTGTAGTGGACACTGTTGGTGTCCTATCCTGGTATTCTCGGGTCTTTCTGCCATGGTCTACTCTTTGCTGTTGATGGATGTCTGACTGCTCTAGAGCACTTCACTAACTCACCTGCAGCCAATGACTGACTAGTGAAGAAGACAGAAAGAACTCCCAGGTAGAGCAAACTCTGAGGTAGAAGTTGTACTTTGGAGTCACCACAATCAAGTGGAGTCAGAGACTTCACAGAAATAAAACCTTCACTTGTTTTTTTCCCTCACTTTCTTTCTTTCCTCATTTCCTTAATGGTTTATCCCGGGATTTCCTTCATAAACCACGTTCACTTAAATTCTTGGCTTAGGGCTTGCTTCTGAGAGAACTCAACCCAACGTACCCTTGTATAATCTATGCAAATGGAAATGAAAGAAGTTTGGTCTTGGACTGTACTTCTCATATCCTCCTGTGACGGCTCTTAGTAACATTGTATGTATGGGCAAGGCAGGGGAGAAATAACAGGAAGATTCACTCTTGAAAATAAAAAAGGAAAATAAACCTGTCATTAACAGAGAAATGTAACAGCAAGTTCTAGCAATCGTTTTCTAAGATTCTACTAGAGAACTGAATAAATAAGCTGCTCTGGTTATTGTAAAACATAAAATTAGATTAAGGCACAGCCTAATTGCCTCAATAAAATCATTTTTGTGCACCATTACTAACAGTACTCTTAGATTTTAAGCCCTTGATGTCATATCATACCTGAAAATACTTCCACAGCCCACTCAGAGTTCCACAACCCCTTTCCCAGGGGTGTAGAGAGTGTACATCAGTCAGCCCAGACCACACTGGAAACGAAAGGTGTGGATACAGAAGGACTACGGAACATACAAAAGGGAAGTGCTCCAACAAGAACCTCGGCATTTATTACTGAAAGGAGATGAGGAGGTTCCGAGGTGCAGGAGGAAGAAGAAAAAAAGAAAATGATACGGTAGCATTAACCTGGGTGGCAGAAAGGCTGAGGTACATGGATTGTGAAAAACTAAACAGGAAAAGGAGGGATAATTCTTCCTTCCTCCTAATACCTGAATAATTAAAATGACTCCACATTGGAATGTATGTTGAGAATACTGAGACTCAGGTCGTAATGAAGTAAGGTTAAAAAAAAAAAAAAGCACATGAATCATTTGAGTCCTGAGGAAGTTTTAAGAATATGAATACTGGAAAAAAGAACTGAGATGTAATATCCCAGAAGCTAAGATCATAAACTCTATATTCAGTCTAACTGGGTTCAAATCCAGGTGTGTCATTTACAAATTGTGTGACCTTGAGCAGGTTCTTAAACCTCTCCAGGGTTC